TATATATATATATATATATATATATATAGATAGATAGATAGATAGATAGATAGATAGATATAGATATATGTATGTATGTATTTATGTAGGTGTACAGTGTGTAGTACTGGGATATCACTGACGGAGTGATTTGTTAAAAGGGATGTTCAGTACGGATAGATGCCTATGTACGATCATAGACACACATTTTTCAACCATTTTTCACAACATATTTCTGTCATACGAATCACGTTTGATGTAGATGCACATTGTCATTTCACGTATAATATTGTTATAAATGTGTCAAGTAACAAACTAAACCTGCAATGTGTATTTATTTACGTGCTTAGGTAAAATCAGGTAAAATCCTGATGGGTTTTTGAAATTCCGAGTTCATAAACTTTTAAATAAGTCCAGCGACTATTGTACTATTGACACAAATAAATAGCATGTCTCCATGGCATTCTTAATCAAGATTTATGCATAAGAAATAATAATAAAAAACAGAAACGTTCTTTATGTACTTGATTATTCAATTTTTCTTGTATTCCCATAACTTTACATTTCCATACTTTTGGGGTTTTAAAAATAAACTATTCAACTGTAATCAGAGGATTCTCTATTGTTAGTTTGTTCTTTTTTAACCTGTTTTTCTCTTCCATTTACAAGTATCTACACGAATAATTGGAATTATAATTACACCAACGTAATAATAATAATAATAATAATAATAATAATAATAATAATAATAATAATAATATAACGTTTATTCGATATGGATTGAAAGGTCTCCAATTGCAAGTCAAACAACACGAGCTATTTCCAAATACTTTTCTTAAAATACGTTAAAATTTGCCGCTAATTATTAATCATAGTTCATAGGAAAATTTACAACTTAATTATTGAAGTTTTGAGTCCGCAGTATCCTGTGAAAATAACGTTCAGATACACAGTATTATATGACCGCGACCGCATTTGCCTACAATATGGCGGAGAGTTCAATGTTTAATTTGTTACGCTAGTGCCAGCGAGAGTATACTATGACGGTAGTATATTCTTGTTCGTTGGCTAGTGCTCACTTTTTACCTCAGGAGTAGTGGGCCTTGGCGTATAAACGTGCGGTCTCGACTTCTAAGAAAAGTCACGACTTTAGAAGTTGTGCTTTTCAAGTGTCGTCCCATGACATGCCACAGTGAAAACGGGCTTTAAGAAGAATCTTTTAAAAAAGAAAGAAACAACACTGAATACCTGGGAGAGAGAGTTCTAAACAGACGATATCTCGAAATACACGCGATTACTCGCGTGTGAAAAAATGTCCACGCCAGGGCGTGTCGCATTAATCCGCGTCTTGCCAGATTGTTTCCTTTCGCAGAACTGATAAGAATAGCAAACGGAGCCAGAGCGTTATATCAGGGCGCATTAAACGTCAATGCTACAGTAATAAATGCAGAATTGTCCTAACATTGCGAGTATCGGTGGATGAAGCGTTATCAGCTAACATTTAATTTATACGCATTTTGTTTGTTTCACGTTAGTTCGGGGACTTTTTCTGTTTAGTTTAATACAAATTATCTATTATGTTTTGGTGTTATTGATCTTGCTCATGCTGGGTGAAATCTTTTATAAATATCCCAATAGCCATGTGCGGTCCAAACAACGCCTCGCACTGAATCGTAATGAAAAAATGGCGCGCGCGGGACAGATTTGATTAATCTATTTTGATTTTTTTACTACATAAAAAAAGTAAAAACTGTGACGTATAGGGAAGATTTGCACACGTCTCCGTGAGCTCCAGAATCACTTCCCAAAATTGAACTATAAATAGTTGAAAGATGAATAAAAGTTTAAAAAATAAAGCAAACAATATGAATAATAAAAAAAAATTAAAAAGCACGAGATTAGTAATATTGTAAAAATTAGATATTTTCGTTTCTGAGTCGTATAAAACTTATTTGCACCAGTAAACGAACTGCAGATTTGATTTGTTTGCATTGCTAACAAAGTGGTAACCCACAGCTAACTCTACTCCTTGGCAAGAGGCTTGTAGTGGCCTACAAGCAAAGGGAAAGCTCAACAAAACGTGTGCATAGTGAAGATAAATTTATATCCAGAAGCAAAACAGAAGTTCATCTCAGCATCTGCTCAATGAATCAGGGAAACTGGGCCCGAACCTGATTGAGATGAGGGTCATTGGCCTGGAAGGTGAACTACATTACTTGGCATATTTAGTCTTTGAAAATAATATATAATTCAAATGTGAAGTAATGCATGATACATCATTGTTTTGTTAAAATGAACAATATTTTTTCCTTTTTGATAAGCCTTTAATTTATAGAAACTATAATACTGCAGAAAATATTTTACTTACCAAATATAAGATGACCACCTAATTTTGAAGAGGCGTCCTGAGACATTTTAAGTTCTTTCCATAATTCTTACTATTCAGACAAAATAATTAAAAAAAAAAATTCTTATTGCCCAGAAAATTGCCTTGTTGATGACAATGTTAAAGAGTTATTGCTGAACTCTTCTTGCACCTTAATATCATAATCATGGTTGTCACTACCCTCATCTTCACATGTATCAATGTTTCTTTCTTTTTCGCCCTCCTTCCATTCTTTGATATTTTCAGGCTTTTTAGGCCCCTCCTGAAAGCTTTGCGTTGTTCATAGTCTTTCATCACACGCAATTCCCTTCTGTCGCCGCACACTTGTTGATAGCCTGTTTCTGTTCAAAACGCAATTCGTATTCGCCGGGCGTCGAACCCGCATCGTGTATGAAACTTTCTACATTCATTTTCACATTACGTTTCAATATATATAATGCCATTCGGTTAGATTTTCTCTTTACCGGCCCATTCAAAAATATCGATCTGAATTGCCCGGCAAATTCGCGGTGGATGCCGAGAGTACGAACGCGATTACATATTGATAGGCGCGATTCTTTTACGTCTTCGCTGTTTATTGTTACGCCAACATTTACGAATTTCGTGACATGGAATGACAATGTAAAAATTTACACCCTAACCAACTAGGCTTAATCTGCGAATATAAGACGATCCAGCATTTTCCAACAGAGATATTTCGGAAAAAAACTCGTCTTATATTGGGGTAAATACGGTAAATTTCTGTACCCAATTCATTATCATCTAGCAATGAGTTGTAAAGTAACGTACTTGTATGTGGATTTCTTGTAATGATCTATTATTTTTATCTCCACATAGCATCATGAACATTTTTAATTTCGTACATAAGTATTCAATTGTGTAATTACTTCAGAATCCAAATATTTGCCCTATTCATGAAAGTGAATTTTGGGACTTTTATGCATAACATTGACAAGACAAATGTAGAATGTTGTAATTTAGTGGATTTTATGGCACTATACGCAGATTCGAACCTGCAACCCCCTGCGTTCTGGAACACACTTTGACTCTGAACCATCCATTTGCTGTTCTATCACTCTTCTTATAACAACATATTTTATATTAACAAAACTTGAAAGTAACATCATGTATACAAAAATTAATGTGAATTCAGTTTCATGGGCAGGTTTCACGGAAGTCTTTTTACCTCTAATACTATTTTACCAGTGGACGTTAATACATTTAATACATTCCCCAATAAAATAAATTTAATTTTAATAGTTTGGTCTAGATAACAATTTTGAAAATCTCGTTAGATTTTCTGCTGCTGGCAGGCAGGGTTGTCCACCACCACCTCTTGGGCCAAGGCATTTTCAACAGGAGATGTGTTTCAAAGGGTGTACACACATCTCATACAAAATGTCTTGGCTCTTATCACTTCAAATGGAAACATTTCATTTCTACACCAAAGACATTTTATGTAACTACTAGTACTGTAGTTAATACTGCTTTTTTTAAAATTATAAATTCAATTTATTTATGAGAGATTAATTTTTATTTTTTGAAAAAGACTATTATTTTAGTTTGGTAGGGCCACAAATAACAAATGTTCTGACAATTTTTATCTTATTGTAACAATATATGAATGTGTAACACTTCAGACAAACAACAACCGCCCCATCCTTTATCTGATGCCTCAGTTCTTCAAAATTGTAAAATCAAGTATTATGTATGTGTACAAATTCTTTGGCATGTGAAATCTTATATGTAATATAAATTTATAATAAAAAAAATAAGATTAAAAAAATGTTCATTTCACATTTGTAAACCACAGTTGGAAGTCCCATTCTGACCTCTGCACGGGCTCTCCAAGAAATTAAGATACATTTCTGATCAAATTTATAATACAATAATGTAATAATACATTAACCAATAACGATGATACACAAAATTAGTAATCATAGCAATGAATATCAAATAAAATTTTAAAACATGCTCCATAATCAATAAAGCAAAATGTTCGAATGACATACATTTTTTTGTAAAATCATAATGAAACAAGTGTTGTTTTGAACAACTTTGCTAAAGCCTACAAAATCAATACTTGTTAAATTATGATGTTCATATCAAACGTTTTTTTAAATAACTATATGTGGGAATTTACTTAATCCATATCAATACCGGCAAAATTAAAGAAAGTTGCTTGTAATTTCTTAGCAATTTATTTGTTATTTATAGAAATTAAACATGGTTTTGGTTGTTTTTTCATTTTGTAAATGCATAAAATCTAACACAATTACATAAAGTAAACAATCTTGGTCCTAAATGTAACTAAAAATTTGTTATCTACACAATGCATTTTGTCTTACCAACTAATAAAATAAATTAAAGTTTAAGGAATATCCAAGCAACTTCTTCTGAGTAAGTTGATAGTAGAGTTTTTCAATTCCTGCATGTAATCTTACTCACTTTTTCTATGACGTTAATTATAAGAAATAAAAATGGACTTTCTATTTCTTTGTATATATTTCATGAACGCAATTTTGCATTTTTAAGTTATGCTAGTTTTGGATGCCTTAATACTTTTCATTAATGTTTACCATTTTGTACCATGTAAAATGCAGTCCACAATTTTTTATCACAATTACAAGTCCTTGGACAATATAAAACAATTAATCTGTTTCAGACTGAATACATTCATAAAATAATATTTTTATTGCAGATAAAGGCTAGTAAGGAACTCTCAGAGTGTTCCCATAAATTAATGAACTAAACCATTTTTATTTCTTGTATTTTCTCTTTCATACAACACTTTTTAAGATGACAAGGAATGTAAAAAAAAATGTCATTAATAATGATTCAGAGAGCACCTTAGAGCACCATTAATGAATGATGACTGTTCACACAATACAGTAAAATTTAAAATTACACACTTAACTGAAGTATTCACTGCAATCATACAATTCTACTGAACAATACATTTGAAGCCTACAAGTCATTGAAAAAGTTTACAACCTGAAAATGGCAACAGTCTTCCTCTCATGAACATTCTAAACTACAGACAGGTAAACGCAAGCATATACTATTAAACCTTCATAAGGCAAATAAAATTTTAATAATCATAGCTCAATATTAAAAATATTAATTCGTTTCTTGACACAACACAAGTTTCATATCTAATATTTTTAATGGTTGAAATCAATACTTCAAGAAAGTTCATATTCAGGACTAGCTAATTTGTAAAAGTGTGACTCTTTATTTCTCATCAACACATCAGGACTATCAAATTCCAAAACTTCACCATTTCCCAGCACTAGCACTCTGAAATCAAAGAAAAATAGTAGTTATTTCTCTAACACAAAAAAATAAGCAGCCTTATTGAAGAGTAGTAACAAATTTTCTGTCTACAAATACTCATTGTGGTAGTGGGGGAAGGGGGGG